GTGGTAGATTTTCTAAAAGTATGTGACAAAAAATGAATGAATACTATGCATCTGCGGTGTAACTTTTAATCGCAGGAATCTCAGAAAATTGCACCGTCACCTGTTCCAGTGACGGTCACCTACATAATAAATGTGTTATRTATAAAAAGAAAGTCTGCCCTAGCTGACAGCCACGCTCCAACCCCAAAACAAGGATGAATGGATGATTAGACGGAGTGTGATTAGGACTCAGTAGTTGTTACTGCAAGCAGGCATCACTACCTCATATCTGTCTTTGGAGGCAGCGTAGTGCAGAGGCGTACATCCATTTTGATTGACTGAGTTCAGCTGAGCTCCTTTGCTGATCAAAGACCTCACGATGTCTTCTCTGCCTGCAGAGGCAGCAATGTGCAAAGGAGTCCAGGAGGTCTGGGAATACAGGACACATCACATAAGATGTTAGTAAAATTACATGATTTTAATGATGTGTCACATTTAGATGATACAGTGCATCGCCTTAAGAAAATAAGCGTTTCTTTGTAAAGCTATTGTTTCAAACCAACAAAGAAAAGGCCATACATCATCTTGGAGATTCACATCAACTCCCAGTTCAAGCAGAAACGTCACAATATCGGTGTGGCCAGCTGAACAAGCCCAGTGTAGCGCGGTCCTGCCGTCCTGAAAATAAATACTATTTTTAGTTATTAAAGCTTAATGCTGSTTTTGCTGCGCCATAATATCGTTCTTACCTGGTCCGTTTTGCAGGCAAGCGTTTTATCCGATAAAATACACTGTTTTAGTTTATCGTACTGCCCGCTGTATGCTAAATTACAGACCTCCACATTCGACACGGAGCCCTCCATGGCTGAATATTTATTTTTGTGGGTGAAAACTTGTACAAAACTYGTGCGTAACTTGAAATTGCTGCTTTCGAAACACAGGCGCGATGACTCAGGAAATTATGATCTCTACATCCGCTTGGAGCAACGTTTTACTCTTCAAAATAAAATACAAGGTCTATTTTGCTACTCAAAATATGTGGAAATATTAATTTACGTAAAACTAAACACACACATTTTACTCAAAATATCTATCAAACTCAACATAAATATATAATTTATAACACTAATAATTAACTGGGTTTAAAAGTAACAAAATATATTTATTTTGAAAGGTGCACAATTTTGATCGGAGGAAGTGAAACATAATTCAAGATGGACGTGTTGTTTGCCAAATAAAGAAGAAYAAGAATACATTTGAGCTGTTATAACTCTTTCCTCACTATTATTTTTGTTTGTATYTGGTGTTGTTTTAACTAAATAATTGTAAAAAAAAATGGCGAGTACTTTGGTAAGTTTATCCTTTTACTTCACGTTTTATTCAAACAGCTCGCTAGTTAACATGTGATGTTAGCTTGTTTTTTCATAAGGTAACTAAATTTGTTACACATTTTTGTTTAAGTGTTTATTTCGTGTCTATCACTTCAGGATTTCAGGACCCATGCTGACCAGTCGTGCCGATATTCTGAAGAGTTTGTCAACATTTATTATGACTGCATGGATAAGAAAAGAAGGGTGAGTTTTGTAATTAAAATAGATTTTTAAACACACACACACACACACACACACACACACACACACA